CAAAAATTCAAGTGTTGGAAAACATTCCTCATTAAATATCTTTGCCACTTTATTATATGAATATGCTTTGTTCTATGTTTTTTTTAACTTGAGCTGTGGTGCTATGCTTCTACTGTCCCTGCTGTCCCGACTGGTGACTTGATCCCAATCTCTAGTCTTTAGCAGCTGAAACAGGTTTTGCTTTCCTATTATCCATTAGTCAGCTCTATCCACCTTTCCAGCATGTCTGACCAAGTATCCTATTCCTGCTTAGGAAAGCATTCCCATAGCATGATGTTGCCATCACCATGTTTCACCACGGTGATGGCAACGTCATTAAATCAGGATCTCAAAATCCTGATTTCATGCATAGAAGCCTGAAATCAGTTTTAGATTTTAACTCGACAGAGTTTTGCATAGATGCTCAAATGTTCTCTTTTGGCCTCATCTGACCAGAGTACAGTGTATCCCTTACATGCTTATATACTGTGCACAGGACTTTGTATGGCTCTTTTTGAAAACATATTTACCACTCTTCTACAAAGAGCTAATTTGGGGAGTTTATATAGTTAGGATTGCTTTTGTAATTCATGTATGTGCTTGTTAAATTCTTGTGATCCCTACCTGTTATGTGTTAAGGATCATGTTTTACCAAGCAGTTTGTGCAATTAGGGCAAGATTTGAAAATGAAATGGAAGTATACAGACAGAGTGGATTATACTTATGAGAGAGCTCTGTCACTTTACATTTGGAGTCTCCTTAATCCAGAACACTGTATTGTTTTGATATGGCTGGGGCTAGATATGTCTCCTCATTTTACAAACATGTGCAGGATGTGATGATGTGACATGCTGTATGTATAAAAGGCTTTTTTAACTAGTACCGCTTTTTTATCTGGACCGACTTCTGAAGAAGCAATCCCAGTGGTAAGAGCTTCCATCTATAACCTGAGCCATTTCTCTGGTCTGAGAATGATTTCAATTTTTGTCAAATATTCCTGTCATTTCTCATAGTAGTTTAATACATAAACCTTACTAAGGTTTATTTAAAGTGTTTGTTCTCTTCTCAGGAAACAATAGGGGACAGAAAGCTTAATGACATAAACATAGAGCTTTGTTTTACAATATCCAGAAAGTATCTTATTTTTAACCTTCCCCAGCTTTATCCCAGACCTGTGATATTTCACTTTATCTTTATGAGGCCATTTTTGTTCTGTCTTTCTATAATAAACATCTGAGGTCTTAACATAACAGTTACATTTTTATTGAAGTGTCATAATTAACACATTAAAGTTTTATATTAATAACTGACCACTGAAACTAATTGATGGTGGTGTTTTAGGGGCAAAGGAGCAAAATGGACTGAATACATGAGCGGCATGTCTTTTAGTTTTAAAACTATTTGTTATCCTTTATTCTTGCACTTCACAATTATTCATTTTTTGTTGATCAAATCCTACAAATACTCTGAAGTTTAAAGTTAGTGGTTGTAATTTTGTAAAAAAAAAAAAAAAAAAAAAAAAAAGTTAGGGAATAAAAAATAATACCTAGGGGAGAATTTACCTCTATCTACTAATCTTAACATTATTTTATCATTATATCCCACTCTGAATTAGTGTGGGACCAAATGTACTGTCTAAGTGTTACTAACACTGCAACATGTACTGTGTGATAAAAGAGTAAACCATAAAAAATATTTATCCACAACCTTTTTCTCTTAAAAACTCTTCGCAACCAGTCTAAACTGAATATGCCATTTTATTGATCAAAGATCTCTAGTTTTATTTCTAGTTTATTTCTTACAACTAAAACCAACAAAAACCCCTAAAAAATCTTGGATTATGAGACTGGGGCTCTTTTAGGCCCCCTGTTGGTTTGATGGCCCTAAGCAGCTGTTAAGCTTGTTCATGCCTTTAGTTATATTTGCCAAACATAAATAAATGTTTCAATACAAAATAAAAATTCAGTGCTAAAATTATCCAATAATTTATTTATTTATCTTTATATGGGGCCCTATCCATTTTGCATGCCTAAAAACCACTAAACATGGTCACAGTTTCCATCTCCGTGTGCTAGCTTTGGCTGTCCTGGGGTTATTGGTGCACCCTAAAGATGGATCAGTTGCAGCATGGGGTTAGAAATTGGCATTGGATAATGAGGTATTTCTAACCCTATACTGAGAACACCAATATGTAAAAGAGATCTAGTGTAGCTCTCCGTGCTATTAAAAATAAATAAATAAATAAAACCCACCCCCACTCCAAAATAAACTCGTGACGCGCCCACACCACATTCTCCGTGACACCAGCCTCTTCTGTCTCATTAAGGAAATGGCCCTTCTTTGCTGATTATTTTATTTGATGTCGTGATTACCACTCTGTGCTCCGCATCAAGAAAGGAGCGCGCACCAGGCGGAGGGCGGTTGGCCTAATTGAAGCATGAGATGCACCGTGTGGTGCGGCCCAGGCTGGGTGGCCGAAGAGGAAAGCCTATAATGTTTTTTATTTTATTTTTTTTTACTGTATGTGTTTGGGTCTAACTGCAGTTATTGCTCTGCTTTCTGTCAAATACCCTGCGCAGAAAACCTTGGTATGATTTTCCCCGCGTCCTGTCCCAGTAAATGTAAAATCGATTTTTCCCTTTAGATTTGTATAACTCGGTGAAGGCAGGTGCCTGCAAGGCGATGCAATGGACCTGGAAACAATCGGCTCGCCTCCTGGTCCACATGTTGAAATGTTGATGTGGTTAAAAAAAGAAGAAAAAACAAAAAACAAACAGACCCTTGCAACTGTTTTTGTTGAAACACGCGAAGGCCCATATGAGCAACAGATTTAACGCAGAGTGATTGCCAAAAAAGCGGTAGACACGGAATTCCTGATCTCTGAAATTGCTTTACAAAATTGCATTTGTTATTTGTTTTTTTTTTCCTCCCCTTTTGTGCGCTTCCATTAAAAGCGTCTCCTCGCTTGTAAACAGCCGTTCCGCACTCAGATGCGCCGCATTAACCCGAGAGGATCGTTGGTGAGTGTGTTTTTACTGGGGAAGATTGATGTGGTCCAGTTAGGGAGGCTGAGTGAGACATAGACCCATTTCGGGCGGGGTGTGTGTCTGTGTGTATGCGTGTGTGTGTGTGTGCGTGTGTGTGTGTGTGTGTGTGTGGTGGTGGTGGTGGTGGGGGGGTTAAAGCCTTAGGACCGGACAAGCTGTATTCAATGTTTGTTTTCTTTTGTTTGCTGTCTCTTTAGCCTCCATGTAATAAACATGCACAAATTGATCATTTTAAATAAAAAAATAAAAAAATAAATAATAATAATAATAATATTTACTATAATTACCATTATTAATATTATTGCTATTATATTTGCTATTTTAACTACATAATAACACCTCCCTGATTTAAAAAAAAATCAATCAGGTCACATAATTGTCATCACAATAATATACAATTTTAAACTGCGGTTATCAAAAATGGCATTACTGAACTGAACAGATGATTAGTTGGTCGAGATTAAGCTTAATTAATTGAAAACTATTTATTATACCGCTTAGTTGTTTGGGGATTTTTTTTTTTTTTTTTTTTTTAATATCAGTTATCTTTCTCCTCTGCATATCCAAAACTACTGACCATCTCCCGCTACCCAAGACCCTTCACTATGAGGAGTTTTGCTCTCCTCTCTCTTCCCACCTCTGTATGTTTGGATCAAATGAAATCGAACCCGCTCTGTCGCTGCTGCTGATTGCTTCTCCTGAACCTCCGAGTGTTTATCAGCGCGCTCCCCCATCTCAGTGGACCCACGCGACAACCCATTTCTTTAAGTTTTCACGCTGTTCCATGCATATGGGCTTATACTTCCCTGCGCCACGAGGAGCATAAAAGATAAGCCTGCGTGTGGATCCACGGTCGGACGCCTCCTTTGTGTGGCTGCAAAAAAAACCTATTTAGTCCCAGGCGGTGGTCTATTCACGAGTCTTCCCCTTTGACATCTGCCAGAAGCTTCTTCTATAACTACCACAGTCTGAGGTAGTGAGCACAGATCAATGGCTGTCCGGTTAATTGTATAATAGACCTACTCATGGACTTCTACTAAAGGGGGCATAGCCGTTTAGGGTCCAGCACGTCTGATTTTGTTTGAAGCAAACAGGCCTAAATACCTTTAATTGAACCCGAGCTGATGAAAAGTCGATGGGAGTTAAAGCGACCGATCACTAACAGCGCTTAAATCCATCTGTTCTCGTTTATTTATTTATTTCCCCGATTTGTCTCCACAAATCACCTGCCATTGGGGGAAATTGGTGCTATATTTGTTTTGTTTGTGCTCCAAGGACGAGGGAGGGAAGCGGGACTTTTCATGTCTTTAAGGGTGTGACAAATAGTTTATTTATCTATTTCATCTATTTATTTAGTTAGTAATGTATTTATAATGATAAAATAAAATCAGCTGAATAATGACCAAAAATATCCGCAGCTGGTACAAAGCCTAAAATTACGTTTATACGTTTTTTTTTACGTTTAATCATTAAAATAACCCCATTTATGTAAGGATTACAATTTATAAAGCTAACAAAGTTTTAATTTTATGTTGGTGATTAGTCCTAATGGTATCATGTTTTTTCATCCAAATAGGTAAAGTTTTCCCCAATCAGAATAAAGCCATTTTTCATTATGTGCATCTTTATCGTTTTGTCATAGCTTTCAATATGAGATTAAACATATTATTATGCTGATTACAGTATTATTTCAACAGGAAAAGTTGATAGATCAGTGGATTAAACGGCGAATGATTGAATTGTACTGATTCTGGAGTTTGTTCCTGCATCTCAACGTGCGTACAGGTGTATATTTTTTTTTTTTTTTTTTTTTTTTTTAAATATAGTGAAAAAAAAATGAGGAGGGGGGAGTCACTTCTGTGACATTTTCAAACTCATGCTCTGATTGGTTCTTATATGAGGAAGCTCGCGGCTTCTTTCAACTAATAGGCACCTCCCCGTCGCTCTAAAGGACATTATAATGCAAGGGACCTCCTTTTTTAACCACAAACTGAATTTTCGTTCATTTAGGCGATATACTTTTTTAAATTGCCCCAAAGTTGCAGGATTTTTTCCGGAGCGCCTTTCGCCCTGGAGCGATACGCTATGCTCTCTCACGCCGACCTCCTGGATGCTCGGCTCGGTGAGTTATCATCACTAAACCCCGGCCCGAAACTCCAGTGTAAGATTTCTACTTCTTGTTTGATGTTAATGTGTTATATAGTGTAGTTCATTGTATTACAATAATTACATTTTTTGTGATTTATTACTGACCTTAACTTCAATAATATCCATGTTTCGTGTCAATTCAATATTCTGTATATATATTTAATTCTACTACAGCATTCAATTTTCTGTCATTTTTGATATGCTTAAGAAATTAGATTTTCCTTATTTTGTCTGAACTTCTACTTCTTCATCATCCTCTCAGGGATGAAGGATGCTGCGGAGCTCCTCGGACACAGAGAAGCTCTGAAGTGCCGACTGGGAGGTGGAGTTCCGGACCAGGGGCATCCGGGAGACATTGCCCCTGGTTCGGACTCCGTAGAGGGAACGACTCTCCTGCCAGGAGAAGATATCACCACCGTAGGGTCCAATTCTGCCGGCATGCAGTTGAATGGGAAACAGGAGCAGGAGAAGCAGCAACAGCAGCAGCAACAGCAGCCGCAGCAGAGCTCGGGACAGCCCGCGAACCAACAGAAACAGAAGCGACACAGGACGCGTTTCACCCCGGCGCAACTCAACGAATTGGAGCGCAGCTTCGCCAAGACCCATTACCCAGATATCTTTATGAGGGAGGAGCTGGCGTTGAGGATCGGCCTCACCGAATCGAGAGTTCAGGTAAACAATAAAGTTTGAAGCTGTTGCTGGGAGCTGCTTTAGGCTTTGTTTCCTTAAACCACCCAAAAGTAATGTTTGAAAACCTGGGGGCTGGTTGGTTAAACTGGAGCATTTTTATTTATTTATTTATCTATCTTTAGCTTGTCGGAGGCTTAAAGAAGATGCCAAAATCCCCGATGCTTTTTAATCTAGCTAATCTATGTAAAACGTTCATTGCGTTCACTGTTTTCACTGACAAAGATTAATGTTAATTATATTACCTAATTTAGTTCAGTGAACCACAAAAACTCCGTTATTCGTAAAAATAAATATATATTTTTGAAAGCTAATAGAAATTAATACATTTACCTGTGTGCTTCCAGCCGAGTTAAAAAGGCACCTAAGTTTCAGTACCCAAATGCAAGAACAAAGCATGCCTAATTTGCCAAATGCTCTGTCCAAGGTGCTGAATTACTTTTTATCTGTGGATAAGAGTGTTACATCCACTGTTATAGTCACAATATTTCATATTTCAGCTGCGTGAAATGTCTTAGGTAATAAAACAAATTAGTTTAATAAAACTATTTTTTTATTTTTTTTTTACCAAAATATATTCAACAGTTTTAACCTAACCATATAATTAGCATTTTAGGGAAGTTCCTAAATAAACAATTCGTATCTAAACATAAAATCCTTTTTAAATTGAATAAAGAATACAATGATTATTTTTAAGCTGGCTCTCTAGAACATATGTCAGGCAACAAAAAAAGTCAAACCATTACCAACTCATTTCAGTCTTCTTTATTACAGTGAATGGATTATTAAGCACTGATGTGAAATCCATGTAAATTATTCCTCTGAAAGCAATAAAATAAGACTAATCATTAGTCACCTTAACAACCATTCTTTATTCAAAGCAGCGCAGATTGTCTCTGCATCCCGGCTCCTGTTGGTAAACAGTGCTGACCGTGCAGGTGTAGCCCCTAAGTGGGCGTGCTGCTCACCCTCTGCATGCCTTTGCACTGTCTCTCCTTTAAAATGCTCTATCAGCGACGTCTTAATAGGAACTCCAGAAAATATATTGTACTTTTTTTAATGGAATGAGAAATTGCATTTTCTTTCCCCTCTCGAGTGTAATGGGTTTGGGTGATGTTTCACGGCTGGCTGAGCGGAATGAGAGCGAGATTTCACTTTTTAATACGGTGGCATCGACTCAGGCCTCGCGCGCGAATTAATCACAGGCGAGGATGATGAAATCTTTATAAAGCTCAGCGGTTGGTGCGCGTGCATTTCTTCTTAAAAAGCTTTATAAGTGTACGATGGGCATATTAAGTGTTATGTTTTGTTTTGTTTTTTTCAGCTTAAGCTAGTGTTTAGCCGATCATTACTTTATGGTATAAATTAGAAAAAGAAATAAAAATGCAACTGCTTGCATGTTAATGTTAAACCCCTTCTAAAATATCAGTGTAAATGAGTTATAGCATGTTGTAGGGAGCTATTAAGGTTTATTTGATTTGAATTGCGCCACATATTGTTATACAGGCACCCTATCTATCTTAGATGCTTTTATACAAAAACACCACGCGCACACACACACCTAAACGATATA